CGTCTGTTCATATTTTCTATTTCTTCCTGATTCAGTATTGGAAGGTTATACCTTTCTAAGAATTTGTCCATTTCTTCCAGGTTGTCCATTTTATTGGCACAGAGTTGTAGTCTCTTAGGATGCTTTGTATTTCTGCGGTGCCTGTTGTAACTTCTCCTTTTTCATTTCTAATTTTATTGATTTGAGTCCTCTCCCTCTTTTTCTTGATGAGTGTGGCTAATGGTTTATCAATTTTGTTTATCTTCTCAAAGAACCAGCTTTTAGTTTTGTTGATCTTTGCTATTGTTTTCTTTGTTTCTGTTTCATTTATTTCTGCTCTGATCTTTGTGATTTCTTTCCTTCTGCTAACTTTGGGTTTTGTTTGTTCTTCTTTCTCTAGTTCCTTTAGGTGTAAGGTTAGATTGTTTATTTGAGATTTTTCTTGTTTCTTGAGGTAAGCTTGTATAGCTACAAACTTCCCTCTTTGAACTGCTTTTGCTGTATCCCATAGGTTTTGGATCATCGTGTTTCCATTGTCATTTGTCTCTAGGTATTTTTTGATTTCCTCTTTGATTTCTTCAGTGATCTTTTGGTTATTTAGTAACGTATTGTTTAGCCTCCATGTGTTTATGTTTTTTACGTTTTTTGCCCTGTAATTGATTTCTAATCTCATAACATTTTGGTCAGAAAAGATGCTTGATATGATTTCAATTTTCTTAAATTTACTGAGGCTTGATTTGTGACCCAAGATGTGATGTATTGTGGAGAATGTTCTGTGTGCACTTGAGAAGAAAGTGTAATCCTGCTGGTTTTGGATGGAATGTCCTATAAATATCAACTAAATCTATCTGGTCTATTGTGTCATTTAAAGCTTCTGTTTCCTTATTAATTTTCTGTTTGGATGATCTGTTCATTGGTGTAAGTGAGGTGTTAAAGTCCCCCACTATTATTGTGTTACCTTCGATTTCCTCTTTTAGAGCTGTTAGTAGTTGCCTTATTTATCGAGGTGCTTCTATGTTGGGTGCATATATATTCATAATTGTTATGTCGTCTTCTTGGATTGATCTCTTCATCATTATGTAGTGTCCTTCCTTGTCTCTTGTAACATTCTTTATTTTAAAGTCTATTTTATCAGATATGAGAATTGCTACTCCAGGTTTCTTTTGATTTCCACTTGCATGGAATATCTTTTTCCATCCTCTCACTTTCAGTCTGTATGTGTCTGCAGGTCTGAAGTGGATATCCTAGAGACAGCATGTATATGGGTCTTGTTTTTGTATCCATTCAGCAAGCCTGTGTCTTTTGGTTGGAGCATTTAACCCATTCACGTTTAAGGTAATTATCTATACGTATGTTCCTATGACCATTTTCTTAATTGTTTTGGGTTTGTTTTTGCAGGTCCTTTTCTTCTCTTGTGTTTTGCACTTAGAGAAGTTCCTTTAGCATTTGTTGTAGAGTGGGTTTGGTGGTTTGCTGGTGCTGAATTCTCTTAGCTTTTGCTTGTCTGTAAAGCTTTTGATTTCTCCATCGAATTTGAATGAGATCCTTGCCAGGTAGAGTAATCTTGGTTGTAGTTTCTTCCCCTTCATCACTTTAAGTATATCATGCCACTCCCTACTGTCTTGTAAAGTTTCTGCTGAGAAATCAGCTGTTAACCTTATGGGAGTTCCCTTGTATGTTATTTGTCATTTTTCCCTTGCTGCTTTCAATAATTTTTCTTTGTCTTTAATTTTTGCCTATTTGATTACTATGTGTCTCGGCGTGTTTCTCCTTGGGTTTATCCTGTATGGGACTTGCTGCACTTCTTGGGCTTGGGTGGGTATTTCCTTTCCCATGTTAGGGAAGTTTTCGACTATAATCTCTTCAAATATTTTCTTGGGTCCTTTCTCTCTCTCTTCTCCTTCTGGGACCCCTGTAATGTGAATGTTGTTGCATTTAATGTTGTCCCAGAGGTCTCTTAGGCTGTCTTCATTTCTTTTCAATCTTTTTTCTTTATTCTGTTCCGCAGCAGTGAATTCCACCATTCTGTCTTCCAGGTCACTTATCCGTTCTTCTGCCTCAGTTATTCTGCTACTGATTTCTTCTAGCATAGTTTTCATTTCAGTTATTGTACTGCTCATCTCTGTTTGTTTGTTCTTTAATTCTTCTAGGTCTTGGTAAACATTTCTTGCATCTTCTTGATCTTTGCCTCCATTGGTTTTCCAAGGTCCTGGATCATCTTCACTATCATTATTCTTAATTCTTTTTCTGGAAGGTTGCCTATCTCCACTTCATTTAGTTGTTTTTCTGGGGTTTTATCTTGTTCCTTCATCTGGTACATAGCCCTCTGCCTTTTCATCTTGTCTATCTTTCTGTGAATGTGGTTTTTGATCCACAGGCTGCACGATTGTAGTTCTTCTTGCTTCTGCTGTCTGCCCTCTGGTGGATGAGGCTATCTAAGTGGCTTGTGTAGGTTTCCTGATGGGAGGGACTGGTGGTGGGTAGAGCTGACTGTTGCTCTGGTGGGCAGAGCTCAGTAAAACTTCAATCTGCTTGAGTGCTGATGGGTGGGGCTGGGTTTCCTCCCTGTTGGTTGTTTGGCCTGAGGCAACCCAACATTGGAGCTTACCTGGGCTCTTTGGTGGGGTAATGGCAGACTCTGGGAGGGCTCACGCCAAGGAGTACTTCCCAGATCTTCTGCTGCCAGTGTCCTTATCCCCAAGTTGAGCCACAGCCACCCCCCACCTCTGCAGGAGACCCTCCAACACTAGCAGGTAGGTCTGGTTCAGTCTCCCCCGGGGTCACTGCTCCTTCCTCTGGGTCCCGATGCGCACACTACTTTGTGTGTGCCCTGCAAGAATGGGGTCTCTGTTTCTCCCCGTCCTGTTGAAGTCCTGCAATCAAATCCCACTAGCCTTCAAAGTCTGATTCTCTAGGAATTCCTCCTCCCTTTGCCGGAACCCCTAGTTGGGAAGCCTGACGTGGGGCTCAGAACCTTCACTCCAGTGGGTGGACTTCTGTGGTATAAGTGTTCTCCAGTCTGTGAGTCACCCACCCACCAGTTATGGGATTTGATTTTACTCTGATTGTGCCCCTCCTGCCATCTCATTGTGGCTTCTCCTTTGTCTTTGGATGTGGGGTATCTTTTTTGGTGAGTTCCAGTGTCTTCCTGTCAATGACTGTCCAGCAGCTAGCTGTGATTCTGGTGTTCTCACAAGAGGGAGTGAGAGTCCTTCTACTCCGTCATGTTGGTTCTGGTCTCTCATTTGGATTTATATATCTTTATGAGGTACGTTTTTCAACTATGACAGTTATTTAAACCAAATATTCAAACAACTGCACACAATTCTATTATTATTATATGTTAGTTTAAACAATGACATTTTTCATCTACTAGACTGTAAGCTATTTAAAAGTGGAGATTTTGTCTCCATCATTGTATTCCTAGGACTTTGACTATATGGCATACAGCAAACAGTTATGCAATAAATACTTTGTGAATAAATGACCAAAAATATAGGTAAGTACATTAAAATGAAAATTAGTACACACACACACACACACACACACACTCACACACACACACATGTATATGTATAATAGTGTAATGCCTAGTTAGGTAAATAAAATATTACCTAAAATTGACTTAGCCCAAAATCACAATCTGATAGTGTTTAATGGCTCAACTTGTAATTATGACTTTCTTAATGAGGAAATGTTCTCATAAATGAAGATATTATAGTTATCCTGTATAACATATGAGAATCTTTCCTTTCAAAGTGAATCATCAGTGTTATAAGGAATGAATATAAAGTTAACCGAAATAAGGCAAAACCAGTAGAATAACTGTTTCCATAACAGAACAATGTAAACATGACCCAGTACAAACAAAACTGTAAAAGTATTAAAAATTAGACTTTCGAAATAATAAATTAGAAATAAAAATAAAATAACAGCATTTTTATTTTAAGACTTAGTTTATATCCACTAGTCTTATTAAGAAGCTGATAGCTACTTCACATAATTTTCACCATGGTATGAATCTTCCTTTCTTGTTTTATTTTTTAATTTAATAATAAATCATATAATTATTAATATAAATATTTCTGATACTAAATTACACTTAGTCCTTTTATGGTACTTAAAGCAAAGAAGCCCTCACTGCAATTTTATTTGAAAAAAAAATTAGATGCACACACAAAATAATATTCTAGTAGCTTTTAAAATTCTAACTGCATCTTTAAAAGGAAAGATTCAAAGAGAAATGTAAGCAAAATAAAGAAAACAAATGTTGTTCCCAACAGAGGATTCATAATATCTAAATTTTTTGCTAACATGATATAATAAATTGCTAAGGATTATAGGAATTATTATATTAATTACATTTAGTAAAAAATTTACCTTATAAAAGCTGAGATACAAAATGATTCATTTTAGGGAAACTTCCCTAGCGTTCCAGTGGGTGAGACTCCCTGCTTCTAATGTAGGGGGTGCGGGTTTGATCCCTGGTCAGGGAACTAAGATTCCACATGCTGTGCAGCGCGGCCAAAATAAAAACAAAAAAACCCCCAAAAACCCCACCAAAATGACTCATTTACAACATGAGTAAAACTTAAGCTGAATTTTATGGATGATATCTACCAATCAATCTTCCATGCCCAAACTATATGTAGGGTCTTTCACTCTTAAAATGTATTGCAAGGGCAGTATGGAGCTGAAGACTATAAAATGTATAAAATGGAAGGTATATTAAATATGGCAGTACTTCTGTAGCAAATGGTATCACTGTTTTTCATTTTTAGAAACATTATAAAAATTTAGAAACTTCCTGGAAAGCTTTATCCGTCATTCTCAGGTTTATAGTTCCCTTAGTTATAAAAGTTTGATGTTATCTAAAAATGTATCCATGATTTATTGATTGTACTCTAATAATGCTTAAGTAAGAAGAAAAAAGAAGCTATAATACTTAAAAGATCAAAACAAAATAAAAACAAAATAAGCAAAGCCAAATTTAGAAGCAAAACTATCCCACTGACACCTACCTCCTGGAAATGCCATTAGCCAGACATTTACGGCTACAGGATTTAGAGGAGAGGGGTGATGACATTGGGGACAAGTTGAGAGGGGCAATCAAACTGCTGATGATCTCAGTCAACTGTGCGCTCTGCAAGAAAACAGTAAATCTTTTACTACTGCTAAGCAAGGAATATGGTTAAATCTCAGACCTTTAGTGCCTATTAAAGTTTAACTTCTCATTAAACAAGTAAATGTTTATGTTTTAGTAAATATTTTATTCTACAAAAACAATTTACACCATTACTGATTTTTCCATTATTATAAATAAATCTACATTTTAAAGTACTCTTTTTTTTCATATCATTTTTTGCTTCAGTTCTTTTGTCTACTTATCCTATCCTCTATAACATTTAAGCTCAGTTGATAGAATCTACATAAATATTTTGAGGCAGCCAAATTAATAATAACAAACTCATAGCTATAATTTATTAAGTGCTCACTATGTGCCAGGCACTATACTAAGCACTAAACATAGAATATTTCTAATCTTTACAACCAACCTGTAAAGTAGATAATATTAGAACTACTGATACTACTATTAGTAAAATCAATTACAGATGAGGAAGCTGAAGCAAAGACAGATTAAGCAGCTTGATCATGGATTATAAAATTGGTAAGAAATGGAGCTAGGATTCAAACTTAGGCTTGAATCCTATACCATACTGCTTCTCAGTATTTTTCCTAATTTGAATATACCAGTTTTTTCAGGTACCCCAAATTTTCATTGACCTGTATCCCAAACTTATATGTAAGATATTTGTAATATACAATAAATACATTATTCTCAAAACAGTCACATACAACAATTATAAGCATAAGCCACATCAATGGAAAACAGTACACTTCTACAAAAGAATAACAACATTTTTCATTACACATGTAATCCATCGTAGTTCACTGTAGAAAAAAGGGAAAGTATGAAGAGGTTTCAAAAATGAAAAGAAAATAACCTGTAATCATATTTCACAGAGAAAACCATTGCTAATATTCATACCCCAAGAAAAAACATTTTATTTTGAATATATGCACACACACATCCTTTTAAGTAAATTATGCTGCATCAATTTTCTAAAATCTGGTTTTCTTACTTAATATAGTGTGGCTATATTTTAAAAATATATAGACATATTTCACTGTTTTATTAACTGAAAGATATTCTATTCTAAAATACGAGGGCATATAGAATAATTATTTTGCAACTCTATTTGTATGAAACAAATAACATGCTATTAGAAATGAGACTAAAGAATATGATAGAGCTAAATATAATATTTGAACTCTTCAAAAAGTCTTCCATGAAAAAGACCCTGAAATGTTTTCACCACTTATTTTCTTGAAAAATAATACATATCTAATGACTTTTTAAAATTATCATACATTTTTAGATTAAAGTTAGTTTTCAAAATCACCAATACATTCTTTATCCATCTATCAAGTATTCATTAATTTGGTCATACAAAGAAATTTATAGAGTACACTCTTCTCATTGTTCCACCTCCAAAAATATCTAAAAATCTTCTTAGCCATTGGAGGTCGTTAATCAGTATGTGTGAATAATTGGTTCAGAGTGACAGCGTCACAACCAACCTCCAGCTTTACCCTAACAACCACCCCACTCCTGCCCAATAAAACCTCATATACTTGAGTCCATATTTGGGATAGAAAATTCATGGTAAAAATGAATATAAAAGTAAAATTAGGAGAGGCATAATTTGAACTCTGAAAAAAAAATCTATTTTAAAAGTCAAAACACTTACTAGCTATTTATAATGAGGTTTCTAATGTAAATATACCAGTATGAAATTTATTTTAAATTATCTGAAGTTCTAAAATAATGTCACCTTTCAATTTATGAACAAAATATATTATCTAATAATAGAAGTATGCATTAATACTATAAATCAATGTTATTTTTTAAAACACATATCAGTCTACAACCCAATAGTGCCTTTATATCTTAACTGCCAACTCTTTAGTTGTTTTTGAGGAACATAAATAAGTTTGGTAAGCAAAACATTCCTCTAACAGTAAATTTAATCAAGTCAAAGGATTACCTGATCTATACTCAAGTTCCACTATGGCAGGCAAACAGTTATATACCAATAGATTATATTTTAAAAAATATGTGTAATACTAGGCTTGCCACCCCTTCTTCCATTTACTCACCCCTAGACTGTCTTCTTCAATGAGTATCTGAAAAAAACTTAATTTTTAATTGGCCTATAAAAACATTATTAGCATGTGTTTCAAGAACACATTACCTGTTCACAGATAATTTATAAATGACCTCTACAAGTGATTGGTGCTGCCCCTTTCTGCATCCTTTTCCTCTCCATGTCTAGAGCCATTAGTATTCTCACAATTCCTGGTTCCTTTCCCTCCCAAAGCCTCTGACATTCCTGTCAGCAATGGGACTTAAAATGAACATGATACCCAAGGCCACCTTCATAGGTGAGCAACCTGTGCAGTAACATGGGGCTGCACTCAGAAGGATCCCATGTTTGGTTAATGCTCTGCTGTCACTGGCTTAAAACTTTTTAACAAAGGGCTGTGTGATTTCATTTTGCCCTGAGCCCAGCAAACTAGCCAGTTCTGATGTGAACTCAGGTCCAACCAACCAAACTGGTGCTACCAAGGAGAAAGAAAAAATACAAGAGGGACTTCCCTGGCGGTCCAGTGGTAAAGAATCCGCCTTACAATGCAGGTGAAGCAGGTTCGATCCCTGGTGGGGGAACTAAGATCCCACATGTTGGGGGGTAACTAAGCCCGTGCACCACAACTACTGAGCTCACATACCTCAACGAGAGAGCCCACCTGCCACAAGCTACAGAGCCCATGAACTCTGGAGCCCACAGGCCACAACTACAGAGCCCATGCACCCTGGGGCCTATGCCCTACAACTACAGGAAAAAAAAAACCCGCATGCCACAACTAGAGAGAAGCCTGAGCGCCGCAAGGAAGAGACTGCGTGCCACATCGAAAGATCCTGCATGCCTCAACAAAGACCCTGCAAGCCGCAACTAAGACCTGACACAGACAAAAAAATAAATAAAATACATAAATAAAATAAATAACTATTAAACAAAAAGAAAGAAAAAAATACAAGAAAACTCTTTCCAAAGGATAAGTAGTGACCTACAGGTAAAAAGAGTCAAAGGTCTACTGATCAAGTGCTCACGTTATTCATGTGAAATAACTAGGATCAAACTGAAAAGGTACTGATCCTAAGGGATGAGGGGAGGGATAAAAAAAGAGGGAAGAGGAATATAATCAGTATTGATTTAAAACACCACTTATATGGTAAAGTGCATTCCAGTTTAACACCAGATAACTACAAAATAACTTTCTGAATTATAAAATATTCATAATAGTATTTTGACAATGCATTGGAAATTGGAAAATTAAGAAAAACTCTAGGCAATTGCAAACTTAACAAATATGGGGTGGGAGAAGTTACTCCACATTCTGACTTACCAGGATTAAGACAGTAGTAATCTGGTACTAAATTATTTCACAATGTATGTCAGAAAAAACAACAACAACAACAGAAAAATTAAATGTGGGCAGGGATGAGAATACATATTACCCACTGGAATAATGTAATCATGCAGCTGTGGTCCCAACTGAGTATATTCTGGCAGATTCAATCTGGTTGCAAGTTAACAAACTCTTAGAAAGCCAGGTTTGTTTAAGAGCCACCAAAGTCTACATTAAAATAAATGGCTAATATTTTTTCTATTTCCTCAGTTTTTCGATTAATCTGCTTACCAAATAAAATATTTGATTTATATTACATTCAGTATTTTAAATGTACCTAAGTTTTTGCACATTTACTATTTTGTAGATATTAGTATCAACAATCAGCTTTCAAAAAAGTCTTAGTGCTATTTTTTATTAAGTTCATATTGGGCTAATAAATTTACTGTGATTTGCAGTGATGTGTTTTCCTATTCAAGTACAAGTTACGACTCTATTCTTATTCTTATTTTATGTAATGCAGTTGATATTTATTTTTTTATAAAATACCTTCATATTTCTTGTCTATTTCTATACATTTGATATTTTGGCTATTATATATGAACCTCTTCTTCATTTAAGTTTTATAAATAATATGAAATAAATTTTAAATATTAATCTTGCAAAAAATGTTTTGATTTCAAAGGATAAATATAGGACAGAATAATTAAACTTCTGGAGTCATCCATAAGAGGATTTAAATACCAGGAAAAGCTTTGGAGTCAAAGTAATTTATTAGGAGTTTATTAGACTCTCTATTTCCACGATCATTTTTTAATGAAAGAATCTATATTCTAATGTTAACTTTCACTAAAACTTTCTATCAATAAATTAACCAAACACCCCATTCAGATCTATTAAGTGGTACCACTGTTCTTTCCCCACGAGAAAAGTCCAATGATGAGCTATTTTGTTAGAAAACAAGATTTTCCAACCCTAGTATAAATGAGTTATCACCCTATAGCTATGTAACAACACTTTACATAATATATTTATTTATTTAATTTATTTTAATATTTTTAAAATTTATTTATTATTTAGTTGTGTAGGGTCTTAGCTGTGGCTGGTGGGCTCCTTAGTTGTGGCATGCATGTGGGATCTAGTTCCCTGACCAGGGATCAAACCCAGGCCCCCAACATTGGGAGTGTGGAGTCTCAACCACTGCGTCACTGGGGAAGTCCCACATAGTATATTTAAATAACTTTAATTATATCAATATTATAATAGATACTATATATACTAAATATTTTAATTGTATTTAATGTCAAACGGCCAACTTTAATAACCAATATCTTAAGCAGAGACACACGTTTATTTGAAGAGTTTATAAAATCAACTGAAAGTCATTTTCATGCCACTCACACTTTACTCTTACTTCACATTACCTGTTTTTCTATATTGCGAAGAAGTAGTGTTGGGCTACTTGGTGACATTTCAAAATCTTGCTCTGGTAAAGGATCTTGACTCTCCTGAGGAATCTGGGAATTCCCTGTAGTGTTTAATGAAGCAGCTTGGTCTGCGAATTGGATTTGCTTTTTCAAAATGTCTTTTGGAAGTCGACATTCTTCTAGGATCACTATCCCCTAGACAAATAGCAATTAAAGAGTTGCAATGAAAACAAATTGACTGCTAGATCAACTTTAACATTACAATGCTCTCGAACCATGCTTTTTATTATTCTTTGGAAATCAGAAAATAGACATTTGGAAGTACAGTTTAACTCTGTAAAAAAGTCACTGATTTAAAACATGTGCGGCTAAAATAATGTATATTTGATGGGTTAGGCTTGCAAAATATTGCCATAAATTACATACAAGATGTTATTTTTCTTATTGATTTTAGTTATTAGCATTAAAAGCATGATACATTTAGAATAAAGTAAAAGGCTTATATGCAGAATATGAACATTTCTGACTAAAATTTAGAACATTTTCAGATATAACCTACTGATATTTTGGTCACTAGCATTTCCACTTGAGTTCTGTATTTAAGCACTCCTAATTTCTTAAATCAAAATATCAAAGTTACAAACATCCAAACAATAATCTAACTTTATACTAACTTCTTTCAGAGCACTCTAAAGAACCCCAACCCTGTTGCTGCCAGCCAGGGTTGGCAGGGCTGCACCACTGAGAAAAAGTACTCTCTAGGCCAAAGTTCTCATTGCTTACAGAGTAGATGAGTTATTAATAAAGACACAGGTTTTCAACCTTGATGGAGTATTTTCTGAAATGTAAGTAACTGGAGAAATGAATAGGGATCTAGCTGCCTCTGTACTCCCTGCCTACCATTCATACATACACATTCCTCAACTGGCTTGCTGAACTTTCCCCACATTCCCTAGCTTCTTCACTCCAACTGTCTTCACCCTTAAGTCCCTCAGAAGTAATGAAGACAGGAGAGAAAGGGGAAAAAGGATTGCACAGATATGATCTTAATGGTTTCACAGTTCTCGTCATAAAATTTCTTCCCTTCCTACCCCTTTTACTACACTTCCCCCTGCAAAGAATAATACAAATTATTATTAAATATATGTGTGTGTGCATATATATATATATATATATACATATATATATATACATACATACTTTTTTGGGGGCAAAATGTCAATAAGTTCCTACAGGCTAGTCGGAAAGGTATTAAATGCCTAATGTGGCTAAAATATTATATTCCTGGAATGAAAAACAGACTAAAACATTAATATAAACATAGAGTATTTCAAGATGGGACAAATTAAATAATTGCTGTGGGCTAGCTTATATCATGTATAAGTACTTTACATAGGATGGAAACCACCTATAGATTATATGTTATATATAAGTAGTCTTAGTTTATAATTTAGAGAATATATCACTTTAGAATTAACATATTCAGATATTGTATTAAACATACATTTTATTATTTTATAGTAATATATTACAAATGATGCTTGGTAAAAGTAACATTTTCTTTTTTACCTATACTTGTAACAGTGCTACTAACTTTTACAAAGATAAAAGGACCCAACTATTGATCCCATCTCAATGACTGTTTTCATAGAATGCACAAATACGGCTGTCAGGAAATCTGAAGAAATATATTTAAAAGAAGTTTCTGTTTCACTTGATATTTTAAAAATTAAATTAGACTTGACAGACAGTATCATCAATCCAAAAGCTCTTGAAAGTATATGAAATGTCTACCCAAAATTTGTACAAGTCTCTAGTAGGTTTTTCACAAGTATCTATATACAAAAGAATATAAGTTTTCACTATATTAAATTAATTATAATTCTATTTGGTTTGATTACAGTTTATATTATGGGCCAGGCTTCTGTGAATTGCCCTGATTTCGTAATCCCTACTTACAATATTGTTTCTATGCAAAAATTGATTTTGAATTTCAAAAAGGTAGTATAAGAATACTAACTTTTTATAAGTAGGAGGGCTGCTACAGTTAATTCACTGAAGAATAATATTTTAAAGATTCAATAGGGGAGACACTCATAGTCAACTTCATAACCTATTTTGTTCTCTTAAACTGTTGCTCTGGACAAAACTCTTACAATGTAAGAATGGCCCACGATTTTTCTCTGCCATAACCGAGAATAGAGAAGAAAGGGAAGAAGATTAAATCCTCTGGAGACACTGCAGAAATAATTCCTCTTGAAAATCAGGAAAAGAATATACATGTGTTGGGTCACCATGATGTATATTTTACAGTTTTGTTTGTTAATTATAACTAAATTAATCTGAATTCTTTAAAAGATCAGGAAAGTAGTCTAATGATAGATAAAATAAGGTAAATAACAAAGACATAAAATTTTTTTTTAAGGATGAGTTGTGTTAACTGAAACAAGTGAAAACCTTAGCATAGATGAAGATGAAAACAAATCAGCTGCTCAGAGAAGACAACTATTCCCAATAATAACACTAGAGAGGTCCCCACCTCCACTCCCAGGGTCCTCACAGAGATGGCATAGTGTGAAAAAATAAACAATTGCCTCAGTGAAACAGGAAGTAAGGGGGAAGGGCACAACCTTTAAAAGAATGACATAGCCATAGGACATGACAAAAACTGGTTAGAACCAGCTAGGTGCAAGATGGTAGAATATTTGACTTCCAGGGCACCTTAAGCCTCATCATAGCTCTTTTTAATACATTAGCATGCTAAATGACACACCCACCAGCGCCATGACAGTTTTGAGGCCAACCATAAAAGGTCAAAAAGTGGACAGTGGCCCTATTCCTGGAAATCTTCACCCCTTCCCTGAAATAGTTGGAATAATCCACCCACTCATTAGCCTATGAAATTATCCAGTCCATAAAACTAACCACACTGTATTTTGGGGACTCTTGCCTTCTGAGATGGCCCACACTCTGTCTGTGGAGTGTGTTTCTCTCTAAATAAATACACTTCTTATCTATCACTTTGTGTCTCACTGAATTCTTTCTGCAATGAGATATCAAGAACCTGAGGTTCACTAAGTCCTGAGACCGAGTGTGCTCTCAATTAAAAGATCGTGGATTCAAGCCCCAACCTGGGTTCTGGCCAGGTTTGAGTCCCAGCCCATGGGTTCAAGTCCTAAACTGGGTTCTGGCTGGGTTTGAGTCCCAGCCCGTGGGTTCAAGTCCCAGTCTGGGTTCTGGCTGGGTTCGAGTCCCAGAATGTGAGTTTAAGTCCCAATCTGGGTTCTGGCTGGGTTCAAGTCCCGGCCAATGGGTTCAAGTCCTGGCCAATGGGTTCAAGTCCCAGCCAATGGGTTCAAGTCCCATCTGAGGTGCACGGTTTCATCAGCAACATATTTATTATTTATATAAAGTCATCAAAACTAATTTTAAGCAAAAATTTAAATGAAAACTTTAAAACAAAGTGTACAATTTAAGATGTGGAAGACCCTATTATAGGATAACAAAGGAAATCTAAAGGGGAAATCATTTAACATAGGATAGCCAGCCTCTCCAACTAAGAAAAACTATTTTAAATTTTTTTCTGAAAGTGAGAAGAAGCTGTTGTCTCAGTAAAAGCTGGAGCAGAGAAAAAGAGAAATATGGCAGTTTTAGTGTGTTGACAAAGCTGTTGCAAGAACAAGGAAGGGATGTTGCTAATACCTGCTTTCTTCTAAGAATTTAAGCAAAATTTAGACTACCTGGAGTGTGTCAAAGAAGGGGCAAATGACACATTTTAGGTCATTTGTCCCTTATTTTACACTATTAAAACACTGTATGTTTCCCGACCAGAGACACAAAAGTAGCACTTATTTAAAAAGGCTATTTATAAAAGAGCATCTCAATTTCTTTCCCCTTTCCTTATCTCTAATTTAACTGAGAGGAAAGGTTTCTTTTTCCCTTTCAAGATACATTAAAAAAAAAAGTTCTGTCTCACTTAAAATGCATTAAACCACTCTTCTCAATTTTTTAATTACAATAATTAAAGAAGGTATTAGAGCAAAAAAGTGTTGTTTTCCCTATTCAATACAATAATAACTCAACTAAACTGCACATAAATAAGCAATTAAACATCTTGATTAATTTCTAAGAAAGGTAAGCAGAAGCTATCAAAGTAAAGGAATATTGTATTTTGATAGCATAATTATAATGATATTTTCCATAAAATAAACATAATATGACTCTTAAGGGAACAAAGGGCCAGAATCACATCTAGCCTGAACCAAGAAAAAATGTAAGGCTACATAAATTATTGCTGGAAAGATTTATTTCCTTAAAATAATTTATTACAAATAGATATAATATAATCATATAATCAAACTTCAAAAAATGTTTAAACAACAAGTATAAAGCATTGCTTAGAACACAGAGAATATTAAAATACCCTTTCTCAAGTCAAAGCCAAATGAACCAGACTGCCTAGATTCAAATATAAAACTTAGTTATCATTTCGACTAGGAACACACTTTCTTGGAAATTTCCAAATTGATTTAAACTTGATTTGTTCTTAGAACTCTACTGGCTATAAAAAACTACTTGTGACATCTTTCAAAGAAAATCATCAAAGAAAACTATCTGGTGATCTTGAGAAGATCGGGAGATCACTACAACTTAAGGCCCAGGTGAAGACAGTTAAAAACGAGAAAGAGTAACTGAACAGGAAACTTCCATCAGGAAACTATTCCTGAACACAGTTGCCTCAAATCCAACAGACAGAATGGGTAAGCCTAAGGTTCTATGTCTATGCTTCTATCCACCTTCCTACAGACATCACCACCAAATTTTACAAAGCATTAAACAATATTCATGACTTCCTAGCTTCCTCTCCCATCCCTTCACGGCTCAAAGTTTCTGCTCCTTTGAATACATACTAATTTGTCATTCCTAAAACAGATCATGTCGTATGCCTTCAAAATTTAAGGAATCCCTTTTCCAGTTCCATAGGTTCATTAAGCAAACTACTATTTATCCTCCAAAGTCATACTGAGGCATCACCTCTTTACTCTGACCTGCAAACCCGTAATGACAAAGTGAAACATTCTCTCTACGCCACATCTATATCTTATTAAAAACACATATCATTCCACATATTGCTTTATATTGTAATCAACAATATTTACATGCTCTATCTCCCCTACCAGAATATAAACTCACGA